AGAAGGCCAACAACATCCTGGCCTGTGTCAGGAATAGACTGTGCCAGCAGGAGGAGGGAAGTGATTGTGCCCCTGTAGTTGGCACTGGTGAGGCCGCACCTCAAATACTGTGTTCAGTTTTGGGCCCCTCCCTACAAGAAGGATGCTGAGGAGCTGGAGCGTGTCCAGAGAAGGGCAACGAAGCTGGTGAGGGGTCTGGAGCACAAGTCTTATGAGGAGTGGCTGAGGGAACTGAGCTTGTTCAGCCTGGAGAGGAGGAGGCTGAGGGGAGACCTTATCGCTCTCTACAACTACCTGACAGGGGGTTTTGGTGACATGGGTGTTGGTCTCTTCTCCCAAGTAACTAGTGATGGGACAAGAGGAAATGGCCTCAAGTTGTGCTGGGGGAGCTTTAGATTGGATATTAGGAAAAATGTCTTTACTGAGAGAGTGGTCAAGCATTGGAACAGGCTGCCCAGGGAGGTGGTGGAGTCACCATCACTGGAAGTATTAAAAAAATGTGTGGATGTGGCACTTCGGGACATGGTTTAGGGGGCATGGTGGTGTTGGGTTAACGGTTGGACTTGATCTTGAAGGTCCTTTCCAACCTTAGTGATTTGGTGATAAAATTCTTCTTGTGTATATGTGTCTTTCAGATTTGTGAAACCTATCCTAGAGAACTTTATGTTCCCAGAACTGCAAGCAAGCCCATAATTGTTGGTAGCTCCAAGTTCAGAAGCAAAGGAAGATTCCCAGTGTTGTCCTATTATCATAAAAATAAAGAGGTATAGTACATCTTCCTCGTAATGCAAATGTGCTGAGAAGTATTTCTCAACACTTGGCTGTAGTTCAGAGTAGGTGGGGAGGTAAGTACAGTGACTTGTATAAGAATGGTATAACTCATTATAATCTTAAGTACAGCTGTCACTGGTGTCTAAACAGGATGCTAAATTAAGCTAAGCTAGTTCAAAAGAAACCTTAAGTAATTGGTTGATAATCAGTTGAATATCTTAAAGTTGCTAGAAAATGAACTTAATGTAACTGAAGATAGCTTTTTGTCAACTGATCTGTCTTCCTTAATTTATCAAGAATAAAATCTGTTAGGTCAAAATGGGCGTTAAAAACACCCAAAACAACAAAACACCGAAAGAATAGAACTGGTTCTTTGAGGAATTTCCAAGGTAAAAAGAACTAGAGGATGGGAAATAAGATTTTGCAGGGTGTGGTAGAGTGGTGTGAAGTACCATCTGCCTGTCTGCTAGGGGATATCTTTGAAGGGAGAGAAGGATTGTTGCCTTGCTGAGTTGAAGAATTTACAAAGGACGAGTATTAAGTTATTAGATGCATTTGAAAATAATTTACTATTTGGAAGATGCACCTGATACATTCTGAAATACAATGTCATTGAAAATCACATGATGAAAACTACATTTAATGATAACATGTTGTGCTTGCAATAGTAAAATTGTACTTGTAGTAGTAAAACCAACCATAATTAATTTCATACCAAGCAAGTAACTTGCTTTCCTAAAGTGTATTCTTTCCAGCCTATACTTTTTTTTGGAATTTTTGTACTTGGAGAGGTCCATTATGTAAAATGGTACCTTGCCCATGTAGATGAGCCTGAAAAAAATGTTTTGATAAACCTTTAGGTGTAAGTTGCAGGTACTGTGTTTGAAAGACGTGTATTAAACTGATGCTAATTTTTTCTTTGTTTTCTGTGGTAGGCTGCAATTTGCAGATGCAGTCAACCTCTATCAGGTTTCAGTGCCAGGTGCCTGGAAGATGAACACATGTTGCAAGCCATCAGTAAAGCAAATCCTTCAAATCGCTACATGTATGTCATGGACACCAGGCCAAAGGTACATACTTCAGGTTTTACAGACTAGGCTCTCTTCCTGAACATTAGAGTACAGGGACATAGTGTAATTCTGGAAAATTTGGAGGTAAATGTGACTCCATCATGGGCAAAAATGTTCTTTAAAGGTAAGGCTAAGCCTCTCTATTCAGGTCTTTAATTACTTGCTTTCTTAAAGCAGTTGAACCCCTCTCAGGACTCAGCTAGAAATTGCTGAATATGCTAGTGAGCTTTTGGGGAGGTGCATATACTTAAAGCATAGTTAAGGAGTGAATAGTTGAGTGGGATCCAAGTCATTGTAACTGTTTGAAATTAAATTCATGAAATGGTGAGCTGTGTTGGTATTTCTTTTAGAATGGGAGGGAGTACTGTGTTCTTTGTAAATGTTCTGTGAAAACTGCTATTGCTGTCTGCCTCTTACAGGAAGTAAGGGAAAATCTGTTGTAGCATTTTGAGGTCATACTTTATCACTGTCTAATTAAATTTAATTATGTTGGTGTTTTGACCTGTGTCAGAATGTGTGGGGTAGCTTTTATTCTTTAGGCCTATCTGCATTGAAATTGGTATCCATTTCATGCAAATCTCCAAACACAGGAGCTGGAAAACAAGGTTGTAAAGTGAAAATCCTATATTGTAAGATCTGCACTTATTTTGAGCAGGGTTCATCAGTAGGTCCGTCTGACAGACTGAAACTGTCAGAATAGGAATGCTACTGAGCTTTGATAATGTGTATTTTTGTGGTTATTCCTGCATGTACTTTGTTGAAGGGAAAGATGAGTAGCGTGAGCCTGAAGTTCAGTGGTTTTTTTAATAGTTGCAACTTTTATAGCTGCAGCAACTTATTAGCTTCTTACACCCCAAACTGACGTTTTTAGAACACCTGGAAAGCACATGTATGGTTAAGTCTGGGGCTTTTTCCTTTTTAGGTTAATTGTTTTGTAGTGTTTTTGCTCAGAAATGTTTGGAGATAAGTAAAGGCTTGTTGGTGGGAATATGGAGGAGAGAAGAGGAAATTATTAAATGCATTATTCAGATACGTCAGCTCTAAATACAGACTGCCTGTTGCTTTTTATGTACCATGCCTTTCTTACACTTGAATGCTTTCAAGCTGATTTGCCACAAACTGTTAATTCATTAGAATCTGTTTATGGTATGTGCTCTTGTGTGGTTTCTTTTCCCAGTGTATTACTTTGAAATTGCATGACTTCTGTTTCTTAATTTGAGATTTTTATTTCAAGCACTGGTTTTCAGTATTTTATTTTGCTCTTTTAAGCTTAATGCAATGGCAAACAGAGCTGCTGGGAAGGGCTATGAGAATGAAGACAACTACTCTAACATTAGATTCCAGTTTGTTGGCATTGAAAACATTCATGTAATGAGATCGAGCTTACAAAAACTTCTGGAAGGTATGTTCTAACTGTGCTATAATATGGTATATGAAAATAGGATAAATATTTTTCTGAAGTGTTTAATAATAGCTTACACAAACTATTGATATTTCGATACTATATTCCAACTCTGTTTAGTACCAGTTTGCTCTGCCCTGTAGTAATGAATTACCTCAAATGTTTATCTTTAAACTGTAAACCAAATGAATGGAGTTATTTTGAAGAAAATTAACTGAGTGGTGCATATTTTGGGTGAACTTGATTAGTATGTCAGTGGCTGGTGGGAAAGGCTTCTGTGTTTTCCAAGTATATGTGTGTGTACACACGTGTAATATAAATACACAAAATAATGTGTGTCTGTACATAATTTTCATATATAGAATACTGATTCTTCAGGGGCCACTTAGTTCCACAGAATTCACAATAAGCTCATGGTCTGTACAAAACTTGAGCTCTTTGACCTGGTGAACCACTTCTGTGCTTGTATAGGTACATCTTCAAGTGTTTGTGGGAAGGGGGGAAAGTGAGTCATTTCACCATACCACTGCCTGCCAGCTGGTGGTGAAAATGGAGAGGCAGAAAGCCTATTAAATAGTTCTGTTAATATTTTATTTGGGTAAACAGCTGAAAACCAATTTAAGACACTCTGTGGAGTATTAATACTGCACTCTGTGGAGTATTAATACTGAGATTAGAGTACAGCAGCAGAAGTCAGGCTTCCACACCTGACAAACAATACATATATAAGTGCTTGCCTTCTCCATGACTGGAAATTTTGCATAATTCTAGAAGGCTTACACTTGTATGGAAGCCTATTTTGATGAAGATGTGGCTACATTGGTCAAGAAAGCTTACAGACTAGTGGTGTAGTCTTACTTCACTCTCATTGAGCCTGCATCTGCTGCTAACCTATTCTTCAGGCACTCCATATGGAATGCTACTGAGCTTTGATAATATGTATTTTTGTGGTTATTCCTGCATGTACTTTATTGAAGGGAAAGATGAGCAGTGTGAGCCTGAATTTCAGGTTTTTAAGTTTGGCATAATCCCTTTTTCTTTTGTTACTATCTTCAGTTACAGAAAGCTAGATAATAAGTCTTTTTATTTTTTTTTTTGAGAGGCCTGCTCCCATGTAATAAAGTCTGATGCAGAAGTGTGTACATTACACAGTTAAACTTCAGACTTCACATTCCTTCTGTTTGACTTACCATCCTACCAACAGGACTTACCAAATGTCTTTCTGTAGCTTACATTAAGGATGTAATATGTTGTAATTTTTCCTTGTCTGGAGGATTGGTTTATTTAAACTCCATTGAAACCAAGTCATGAATAATGTCTATAGTTGTTCTCCAGATCAGGTTTTAGGGTAAATGAACACAGTTGTTCTACTTCTGTTCAGTCCGTATAATTCACTAGAGTTTTGCTGAATGTCAGTCTAGAAGTAGAAGCATCTTTAGGGGTAGGAATACCCTTAAAATTTAGGGAGGTATGCAACAGTTTATTCTTCAGACCCCTGTCGGAATGTGCCATCAGTGGGGTGATCAGGAAGGAAATGCTATGAAATTGGCTTGTAGCTTAAAATGAGGAAAATGCCATTTAACTTCTGCATACTAGTTTCCCCTGGACGTGCTGAACTGAATGTTCTCAAATCAGGAACATGATACCAGTGACCCTGTCTGTTCAAGAGCCATTGTAACTGCTCTGTAGCTATTGCTCTCAGACAATAGAACTGGAACTGTCCTCCGTTTTATTTATAACAAACAACTGTTATTTATTCTTCAGCATGTGTCCTGCTCCTAGGCTCTTTGTCTATATGCCTGATTTCCCTCAGAATCTAACGATTCCATTTGCAAGCAGAATCCTTTACAACATCCTTTTGTAATGGGACTAAACCATGAAGTATGCTAGGGGGATTTGCAGTCTATTCTTCATCTCAGATTCAGCTGTTATTTAGAAATTTTGCATGCAGTGAAACAAAACTTTTCAAAAATATTCTTCAGTGTGATCATATGATGACTCTGCTCCCCAGTGGGCAGACTGCCCATCTATACAACACTAATGTAAGAATCTTTACATAGACTAAATTTGTGGCTGTGTTATTAAATAAGAAGTCCAGTTTTTATATATTCAAAAATGTAGTATTAGGTGTCAGAAGAGATTGACCTCTGATAAGCAAAAAGGTTTTGCATATGTCAAGAAACAGCATTTCTGCAGGAAACATTTGAGGAAGAGGCTCAATAATAGCCGATGTGGGCTGCTGCATATATTTTGATGATGGAAGTGTGTTAACTGAGGGGTTTTTTGTGGGTTCTGTGAAGTGTCTGTATGGTGGATGGGGTTGGTTGTTTTTGTGGGTTTTTTTATTTGTTAAAACAATCTCTGCCCGCAACACGCTGTGCTTCAGTCTGCAGATTCTAGTCACGTCTTTAGTTGCTGCCTGACGCATTGCTAGTAGTGTGTATAAGGACAATCAAACGATGGAACACTAAGGTTTTGAGGCTCACATGCATGCAGGGCATGTGTTTTTATGATGGGATCCATATAGCCGAAACTGTCTTGAATGATAGTAGCTAGTAGATAGTAGCTAAACATCTTAGTGGTACCATAAATCATCTTTGACCCCTTTTAGGGACCGTAAGGGACTGGAAGTTATTTCCTTTCAGCATAAAAGTGGCAAAACGGTGTTGATACAATTTCTTTAGTTCATCACTAAGTAGTATAAAAATGTCCATGTTAATTCACAGACATGGAAAGTAATTCTTTGGGCTCAACATATGTGTTCTTATCTCTGCATTGGTTTATAAAAATGTAGAAATCTAGCTAGAAAGGGGAAATACTAGTGGTGAGATAATTCTACCAAGCTGAAAATCTTGATCGACAGCAGATTTTGACAGCAGTATCTGGGTGAAAACAAACTGAGGGCTGGAAGCCTGTTCTAGCTGAAACCTTGTGCTTTAAAACCGTACGCTACAGAATGTAGGGGTGAGCAGCCATGAATAGTGCCTCTAGACATTGCCTTGTCTGTCCAATCCTTTCCCTGCAGATGTTTGAATTTCCAGGTATTTTAATATTTTTAGTTTCTTTCCTTTACCATAGAGTGGTGGACCTGTTTGTGTACTGTTGTGACTGAACAGGTGTATGGAACCACTGGTGTAGAGAGTGTGAGCTAGCTGAAAGGATCAAGTAGTTCTTGGCCGACTTCCTCCATATGCTAGACCTTTCAGAAGCAGAACTCTTGCCTGATGATGCTATCTCTTTCTAAGACCAGGGAAAACTAGCATAGCTTTGGCTGCTTCTACTGATATTTGCAGACTAACCTTTAAAAGTAAGTCTTGTATCTAGGGGTTTCTTATTATCTTTTTGTTACCTTATTGTGCTATGGCTTGATAAATAGTTTTGTAGATGACAGAGATCTATGGCCTTTAGAAAAGGTGCTGCAATACTTACTTGGAAGCCTGTATGTGTTATAGCATTCAGCAGCAACTGGCACTATGACTCTTCCTGAGCAATGGGGAGTATACCAGAACTTGAATGGCTGAAAGCTGAGAAACATGTAGTGCAGCTCTAGCAAAGCTGGAGAAGAGGAAAGCTCCATGAGGCAGTGATTTAAGAGTTTGTAGCCTTCGTTACATCAGGGGACTTAACTGAACATGAAATTGCATCACAGAATGACTTGGTGAACTTTGTTCTGTACTTTACCTACTGACTCATTTCCTCCCATAGTCAGATAAAGATTATTTTGCAGCTGCTGTATGAATATCCCCACTGATAGCTTTTGGTTACAGAGTCTTTTTATTTTCACTTGGGCCCACTAGCTTAGAATCATAGAATCGTTTAGGTTGGAAAAGACCTTTAAGGTCATTAAGTCCAACCATTAAGCTTGGTGGAAAGTAGGCTTCTACTGTGGCAGGGGCAGGTATTTTTGTAGGTAGCAACCTCTGGTATCTTCTGTTAGAATCACACATAGCTGAAGCTATATAAGCCAGCAGATATTTCTTTTCTTCTCAAAAGTTTGTCATGCTTGGGCAGTAATGTAATTGTGTGAGTTGCTACTCAAAATTGTACAAGAACCAGGTTATCCATCTCATTTGTGAATTGGTAAGTGTGTGAGAAGGTTTCAGCCTACATCTACACCTCTTGCTGCTATGCTGCAAGGCATTTTTCCTTTAACTTGAGTTCTTCCCTGCCCTCTCAGCTGGCATTGTTGCTACAGGATCAAAGTATACTAGGGAAGAATGGTGGAGATCAGTCAGAATTGTAGTATATCAAGTCTGGAGGTAGACAAAGTTTTGATGGTTTTCAGTTCCTCACCATACCCTTGTACTGCGCTCACTTTATTCTCCTAAGCAGAGTGGAGAAGGTGATGAAACTCTGACAGTCTGACTTACTCTGACCTGTGTGTGTTGTCTGGATGCAGCTACTTCCTACTAGTAGTTGTAATTTTTAAGTATTTCTGGTAAGCTTTTGGCATTTGTGTTGGCTTCCTTAGTAAGGCAAGGGTAAGGCTCCCTGCTGGGGATAACCATTGTATTTACTTCGAATGTTACTTTGTCAAAAAGACACAAAGATCTTACTTTTGTCATTCGTGGTTACTGAAGTTCTACAGAGTTGAATTTTGGGTGGACAATGTTTTGTAGTACCCCTCTTAACCATTTGAGTGTTTGTTTCCTGAAAGATTTCTAATGAACTTATAGGGCATTAGAAATAATATACAATTATTATTCTTTCTTCATTGCAGGGTATAGGTAGCTGCAGCTGCTTAAGGCTTTCTAACTCTTGGTTTCTTTCAGTCAGTGGCACGAAGGGCTTGTCTGTCAATGAGTTTTTGTCTGGTTTGGAGAATTCTGGATGGCTCCGTCACATCAAAGCTGTGTTGGATGCTGCAGTCTTCCTTGTCAAGGTAACTTGCATGCTGCTGCTTTATTTGATGGGAAGCTGACTTGCTATCAGGCAAAATTATACTTAATATTATATAATTTCTAAAATTCTGCAGTTTACCTTTTTGGAGGTAGATGCTACACTGATACATCTGATACGCTATTTTAAGTGTTACACGTTTCTTTATGATTGAAGATGTTAAATGTGCTAGCTAATGTTTTGGGATTTTTTGAATGCGTTTGGTCACTATTGGAAGATGAAGGGATTCTTATGCCCCCTGGTTCTTCTAGGTATTTATGAAAGGTGTAAACAGTTTGGAGGTGGATGGAGCAAACTATTATTTAGTGTACCCTGAAAAACAGAACTCCTGGGGCACTAATTGCAGTGAAGGCAAACTGGCTATGCTGACTTCATTTGGCAAGAAAATGGGACTCTTTGTGAAGAATTCAGAGGAACAATTGCCTTTGCCAGGCACCCATGAAGCCAAGGGTTTGACCTAGGAGGGGCTGGGTGGAAAAAAAAAAAACACAGACCACGTGGATCTTTGTTTTTATTAGGTGAAATAACAAGGAGTTGCTTTAGTTAAGAGGATGATTCTCCTAAAGATGACCTTCAGAAATATCTGGGCTAACAGGATTTGAATTCTTAGCTGTAGCTAATAAATATTTTCTAGTCCTTGACTCTTGTGTAGTATAATGATGAGCAAGTGGGTATCCGTAATGATGTTGGTTTTGGTTTTTCCCACACATTACACACCAAACAGGTTAGTCTGCTTCTTTCTTAGTATGCATTGCAAGGGGTTTTTGTGAGTTTAGTTTTGTAAGAGGTAGAGAACTGGGAACCACTGTAGATGTTCTTGTTACCTTATGCAAAGGTGGTAGTGGAATTTCTTTTCTTTATAAGGAATTTTCTATACTTCCATGGAGAGAAATCTCTAGCTCTCTGATAGTATAAAGTCCTTTCCTCATAATACACATTCTTCTGGTTTTGCTAAATAAAATGGTTTATGCTATGAGTTTGGGATAAATAGCTGTTGTAGTTATTTATAAATTTTGATTTCTTTCTAGAATAGAACGTTGACTAAGAAACAACTGTTTTGCAGGCAATAGCGGTCGAGAGCGCGAGTGTATTAGTGCATTGCTCAGATGGCTGGGATAGGACTTCCCAAGTTTGTTCTCTTGGAGCTCTCTTACTAGATTCCTATTACAGAACAATCAAAGGATTCATGGTAAGCAAGCTGTTGCATTGTTGAGTTGTTCCTTAGTAAATAAAGGATGTAAAATGTTTGAGTGTGAAAGGGAGGAGTGTAAACAACTGATGCTTTTTTGTAGTTAAAAATGTAAGATTTGCAGTATACTGATAAATCTTTTTTCTAGAAATACTTGGCTACTGGGAAGAACCATTTAAATGGAATCTAAAAAACTGAAAATCAAATAGTGGATTGCTTTAGGCACCCTGCAGAAATATTGCAATGCTTGCCTTCTGCATCCAAGAAAGCCCCTTATCTATGACATAAAAGGATTCCAAAGTGCTTATGTGAGATAGTAAATGTACTAAATTATAGCAGCTCTATGCTTTTATCGCTTGTCCCAAAATCAATATTGTTAAAATCTAAAAATGACAACTCCCTCAGTGACAGAGATCTGAAGATATTTAAGCAATCTAAATTTCTTTATCTTTCTATGGAGAGGGAGAATAATTTTGATATGACTATTCCACATTTTAGAGTAGGAAAATCTATGGATTCAGGAACTCCTGAATGATAGTACATAGAACTAGTTCCATGTATTGGTTAGAACTAATTGCCACAAATATTACAAGCAACAAAAGTGAAGTTAAGGAGGAATTAGAAGAGGATTCATTTCTTGTGAGTAGTGAGAATGAGTGTAATATTTAGGGAAGTCATTTAATCTTCTTGTTTTTTAGTCCTCGCTGTCAATTGGATTTCTGGGAAAACTTCTGCAATGGGCAGGCAGTCCTGTGTTCTTTTTGGTGCTTGATACTGTTACTGAAGTGATAAAACAAGCTCGTGTTGATACTAACAAACTTACTGCTATAAAATATTACAAAGATTATGTTGTGTGGTTTTATGTAAACTATGATAGCAG